TGTGTCTGTGTGTGTGTGTGTGTGTGTCTGTGTGTGTGTGTGTGTGTGTGTGTGTGTGTGTCTGTCTGTGTGTGTGTGTGTGTGTGTGTTTTCTCTTGAGGGGACTTACTGGTTGATTCGTTCTCATCCTGAATGCCTGTCGAGTCAAACCCTACTCTATCTGGAATACAAATGAGATATAAATCAACCAGTTAACCAGTTAACCCGTCCTGACAACTGTCAGCAGTGCTCACTCATTAGTATTCACTGGTTTGTAAAGTGTAGTTCTAGTACAGACACAGGGCACAATATCAACATATGGAAACTTTTTCACAAACAAGTCATTTTATTGCATTTAATACACTGAAAAAAAGATGTCAAAACAGTTTTCACTCAGAAAAAGCTAGTAAATTCCATAATTATTAAAAACCAGCAAGTAACACACTGAATTAAACATGATTTTTTTAAAAAAGTAGAAACACTGAAATAGTATTATTTGTAAAAATGTACTCTTATATTGTATTATAAAATGTTTTATTTACAACCTTAAAAAAAAAAAAACATTTTTTGTACAGTGTATATTTATATTTAATATTATTCATATTTAACATGTTTAAATTTAATATGTTCATTTATATTTTCATTTATTGTTGAAACTTTTCAGAATATTATTTTATTATTTTGCATGGAATAATATTGACAGAGTTTAGGTGTGCCCTAGTGTGTATTTCATTTAAAGAAATTAGGAATTATGAAATATATACTTTAAAATAAGGTTATATTAGTCTTGGTTAATAATAATAATAATAATAATAAAATTAACCAATATTAATACAATTATTTTATAGTGTTATTAAAAAATAATAATAGTGGTAACAATTTAAACATTTCATGCTGTTCTGTATGATTTGTAATGTGTGTTCATAACTGTTGCGCTGTAAAATCTACTACGCTATAATATATATATATATATATTTAAAGATCTTAATAAAACAAAGATCAAGAAAATATTATTTCAGACTTTCTACTTAAAAATTGCCTTTGTAATTATTTATGAAATTTATGAGCGATTCCTGAGTGAAAACTGTTTCAAAAACTCTTACATTTTTTATTAAAAAAAAAAAAATTTTGTACATGGTTTAGATGTTGTGGATGCGTTGATATTTACTTTAATAGCTGAAATCACTCACTAATTAAAAAACAAACAAACATTGTTTTGTTTCAGAGATGATGATA